GTTGTTTCTTATAGTTTCTCGTTGGTCTTATTAAAATCATTCATCGTAGATGTCATAAAAATGAAAGCCTTCACGATGAAAGCGCTTCTGTGTTCTCTTCCTCTTACTTCTTGCGACCTAGGTACTCGACCATTTCGTAAAGTTTTTCCTTTTCATCTTCAAGCAGCAATGCTTGAATACAGCTTGTAAAATATTCCGTACCAAAGCAGTCTTGCCTAAATTAAAAAAAAATAAATTAAATTATATAAATTAAATTTTTGTAAATTATTATAGAAAAAAGAAAGAAAGAAAAGAAAAAAAGAAATAACGAAAAAGAAAAATTTAAGATCCGTTTGTTTGGTTTTATTTAGTTTTGTTTTATGTTTTAATAAAGAATTTTCTCATTATTATTATTTTTTTATTTTTTATTATTTTTATTATTATTTATTATTTTTTTATCATTATTATTTTTGGTAAATTTTATGATTTATATTATTATATATGCTTTTTTATATATGTAATATAAGTAAATACAAACGAATCCATCAACATGAACAAATATTAAATAAATCGAAATTCAAAAAAGTGCCATTCATTTATTGCACCTTTTAATGAAGCATAAAATAACAAAACATAATAGATACGATTCTATTGTAAAAAATTGCAATTGTAAGGAGATCAAAAAATATATAACTGCTTCCGACAAGAAAACCTGCAAAAATATTTGAACGTTGCAAAAATATGTTTTATTATTCTCCATTTTGTTGTCTTATCCTTTGGCATCCTATACTGATCATGTTTTCTGAAAAATTATGTTAACACAAAAAATACATATTTTCAACGAGGCACGATAATGCGTGACAAAAATTTGAAAAAATGTATGCAAAAACGATGTGTTATACATAAAAAGATAAAAAGTATAAAAATGAAAATATGCTATCGAATAAAAAGTAATTTGAAAAACTATTATTTCCAATATGCATAGTATAATATGTGTATATTAAAATAATACATCTAACGAAATATATATTAAAATATGTATATCGACCAAATACTAAACAATATTATTTTTTTGTTGCAAAATCTGCTGAAAATTACCTAAAGGAATATACAGCATGCGCGAAAATCGCGTATCATCGTACATATCATATGCATCGTTGAGTTGTGGTTCGTAAATTCTTGAGATGACATCAAAGGTAAACCATATGCGTCGATCAGAAAATAACTAGCTCGATGGTAAATGCTGGTAACTATCGGCAACAAGAGTTTGTTAACGAGCAACGAAAATAAAAAAATTGTAACCAAAAAATAAAGAAAACTAAAGAATCGTAGAATAAAAGAAAAAGAAGAGAAAGAAAAAAGAGAAAGATTTAAAGTAAAAATTGAAAACTGTGTAAAATGTATAGAAAGATATTTATCAAAATTTAAATGGGATGGAAAATTTTTTAATGAAAAAAATAAAACACAAAAAAATGATAAGGTGATTAAAATTAAGAGAACTGATCGAAAATAAAGGGAAAAAAGAGAAGCAAATGCATTTGGTATGTAATACATGTATAAAGCCGTAAAATGAAAATGCGCGGATAAGAAATCATAAACATAAAATAAAAAGCTACCTAAACCCCGGGTTCCGCTCCATGAAGTTGCTTGATCCATGTTTGGATCTTTTCTACTTCGTCTTGTAATAACAATACGTCTAAGCATCCTTTGAAGTAGTCTGATGTAAAGCAGTTTTTCCTGGAAAAGATTTCAAAATATAACACTAAATATAATCCGATGAATTCGCGATGTACCTTGCGTCCTAGATCTGAAAGTAAAGTGAAATATTTATCATGTTCTCACAAATGTGAGATAAAAATTTTGAGACAACCTTCGACATAAATTATATATTTTGTAATTTATTATTTTGTAATTGAAGGAAATAACAAATTGAATTTGATACATTGTAAAAATATGACATATAATATAATATCCATTTACATTTATGATAATCTATAAATATATTCCAATATTTATTCTTTCTCTATTTTTGCATATTTATCAGCAATCTATGTATTCTAATATTCTTGAATTTGTGATATATGATTATCTTATTAACAAAAAATTGTGATTGTATATGTGTTACTATCAAAATTTTGAAAGTTCAATATTTTGAATTTAGAATATTTAACAGTGGAAAATGAAAGAAAATTTTTAATAATTTTTAATATCAATTTATGTTATTAGTTATTAATGTTTTCATGAAAAATATATATTCCGAAATTAAATATAATAAATATATATGTATTATCAAAATAAAAGAGGATATTTGCGAGTTTGCCGAATATTCGAGACAATGTGCATATTATTTAATAATAATAATAAATATAATATAATAAAATAAAATATAATAAAATTTTATCTATTAACTATTTTTGTCGATGGTTATCTGAATCTACTTAAAATGAAGAATTGAGAAAATGAAGAATTTGTTATAATAAATACATTAAATAAATATATTCATATATAATAATATAAGTTTTAATGAATAATTACCTGCATAATTGATGCAATTGAGGTTCTCGAAATAGATTATAACAATCCTCGCAGATTCGATCCAGCCGGGCAAAGATACTTTTATCATATATACCCTTACATTGAATATCAATAAAAGACCTTTTACCCAAAGGGTGTCCATTTAAAATGCCAGCGTCCGTTAAACCGATACATGATGAAACAAGTAAAAGCGTCACAGACCAAGCTAACACAGAGACGAGTCTTGGACAGGGTATTGACATAATCGACAATTCGCTTGGTAACGAGGGTAATCTCGAATACGAGGTTTGTTGTAGATTCCAAGAATACGACGATAAATTGGATGTCGACCACGTTGCAGACGATGGTAAAAAGATGGATGACGATAACAACGGTGATGACAACGTTGAAGTTGATGTAGATGTTGTCACAGATGATATTGATGTAGTTGGTGACAACGGTGCGGGTAGAATGGATGATCGAGACATTGAGAGTGGCAACGATAATAAAGATGACGATAACGAAGATCGAATCCTCTGTTGCCGATGCATAGTCTGGAAAAATGTAAATAAATAGATTTGAGAAGATAAAAATAATTTATAAAAGGAAATAACAATGAAAATATATGAATATCATTCAATTTAGATTGAAATTTAGTTAGAATTTATTCTAGTAAAAAATGGCTGATTATTTAATTCTGCATGTTAATAATATTGTACATATACTATATACTATATATTTAGTATATATATATGCTTTGTATACTTTGTAATGCATAAAACTATGCATAAAATTGCAGTAAAAAAAAGAAAATGTAGCGAATATCGAAAGAAGAAAAAATTATATTTGAAAAACAAAAGAGAAAGAAATAAAGAAAGAGAGAAGAAAAAAGAAAAAAAAAGAAAAAGGAGACCGTGTAAATAATTAACAGAGAGAAACTCGAATCACAATGCGATGTATTAAATTCATCGATTATTCAAAATATCTATGTACAAATGACTGATTCGCTGATTTTCTTAAAATACATAGTATTTATACTTAAAGTTTTAGTATTTCTGTATTCTTTCTATCTTTTTACAAGCTGTTTCGTTGTATTTATTCGATAATAATAATCGTTTTTCTATCACAATTTTATCGCGGAAACAACAACAAACAATTGTGATTTTAATAATAATGATAACGATTGTCGATAACGATGACGATGATGATGAAAACGACGATCGATGTTGTTCAAGCAAGGAGCATCTCGAGGCTCGACAAACTCGAAACGGTTCGTGAGGTAAAAGTAAAGATGTAAAGCACTCCTAACCAGTCCCGCGGCAATCGTTGTGAATGGACCACACGCAGGTAGGCCCCACCTGTAAACGTTCTGAACCGACAACTTCATTAAACGGAGCTGAAGCTCAAAGCGGCACGGTACTGCATAGCAATATATGAGACAAGGGGATTCTTCTTATGCGGGGCAATGCGAGATTCTCGAACACACGGCAGTTTCTCGTTTGTCCCTTTGCCTTCGTCTCATTGGCGGCACCTGTATACGCTGAAGAGAACGTTTCGCTCAGTTCTCTTTTTTTGGAACATAATCACTGCTCCCGGGTGGGATTTTATTTTTAGCCACGACCGATTCTCGGAACTTTCAAACCGCTCCACTCTATATCGGTCCCCCACCTGGTAATTGCCTACAGTCTGATAATTTGCTTCTGAAATCGCACGATTTCAATCATTAATATCGTTTCACGGATTTTCAAATCAAATATGATCATCAATTATTGATTGTAAACCATCATTCCGATTTTATCGATCTTGTGTCAATTATTAAATATTATTGATTGACGATTGATTTTCAACAAAATAATTTTTTTATTTTCTTTACGTCATCATCAATGTAAATTATTTTAAAAGCATTAAATCTTTCATTTTTTATATTATATATATTGTAAAATATTCTATTATAAGATATTATATATTATAAATATATTGAAAATATATATAATATATATAATATATTATAAATAATATTGAAAATATACTTATATGAATTTAATTGATAAGTCATATAAGTATAACTTAAGTGAATTTAATAAATTATATTATTAAAATAATTTTATTTTATATAAAACATTGTAAATATTATCTATATATAATTATGATTATAGATAATTAGATGATATAGATAATTATAATGATTATATATAGATCATATATTAGATTAATTTTTTTATTAATGTATATATGAATATCATTTCGAGGGAACAAAAGCAATCCTTAAAGTTTGGTATTATTTTTGTTTTTTATATTATGTTTTTTATATTTAATATAATTTCGTAACGAAATAGAATACGCTCTATTACTCTATTACTCTATTATTTTTATTATAAAGTGAAATATTTAAAAAAATATTTTCATTTGCATCTGAATACAAAACATGAAAAACATGTTAAAAATTTTAGGTTGGTTAAAAAAATGTTAAAAAATTAGGGTTGATTTTAAGATTTTAAGAACTTAAGAAGATTTTCGATCGAGAAATAAATTGTTTTACATACTACCATGCTCTATATATATATATATATATATATACACATATATATATATTGATTTAATTTTTAAATCAAATTTTTTAAAATACATAAACTTTCTTGTAAAATAACATATAAATATTTTTACTAAGTTTATATAATCAATATTTGTGATTATTTAATATTAATTAAAGAAGAAAATAGAAAATAAAAAAATATATAGGAAGTAAAGATTTTAAAATAAAAAATTAAATATCGAGACAGAAAAGTAAAAACTAAATAGCGAGACAGGTGAAATAAGAAGGGTGAAGAGCAGATAGTGGAGAGTAGAGTGGAGAGCAGAGAACGAAGTGAGTGTACGTAAACGAAGAAAAAGTCAATGGAGACCGGTTACTCGACAGGTGAGGTCTTTCGTCGGCTGAGCCATGCACAGGTGTGCAATCTGTAAATCCCCCTTAGCAAAAAACTATATACTCTTCGGCACCGCTTCACGGCTCTGTCGCATGCTGTTACTCGAGTCACTAGTTATACACACGTTCAATGCTTGCACGCGACTAAATGCAATTCTTTCATCGTCACGCACGTTTAACATTTTCATTTGAATCGTATGATCAAAATGTAAATTATTCTTACACGTACATTTCTTCTTATACTATGATGTTTATTCGAAATTTTGAAAATCTTTCTCAAATCGAAATTGGATGACAAAAGCTAGATGAATAAAAATAATTAGTAGATTTTATTTTCAAAATAAATGAAATAGAATTAATTTTTCAATTTTCAATTAATTTTTCTTAGAAATCAGAATCGAAAAAGAAGATATTTGAATATGTATTTATATTATTCGAATAATAAAATGTATAAATGATAATATATATTTACTATATTTATTATGTATAAGTGATAAATGTATATTTGATAATGAAGAAAATGTGAAATTTAATAAAAAAAAAAAAAAGAAAAAGAAATGGAAATATAAAAGGAAGAAAAAATAATGACAACACAAGTTGAATTGAATCGTCGCATCGTATTCAATTCATTGGATCGAATCCAACCAAGTCAAATCCAGTCGATGAGATAGGAAGAAGAAGCCACGAGGCGAAACAGTCTACATATATCGTTAAGTAGATACATCGTGGGTTCTCCTCACCAGGTGGTCCTCTTCCCGTGCCGGATGACTCAATCGTGAGATGGAGTTGCTCGACCAGCTTACGAAGAGACTCGCTAAGACCGCATGTATTTCATGACTTGATTTCAGTTTATATGTCTGTGTATCTGTTTGTCTTCTATTAAATTTATATTTGTGTACTTCGATTTTCTCAATTTTTTTTTATGTGTTAACATATACAATATTTCTATGATAGGATTGTGATATATAAATATTATTTAGTATCAAATATATAAACCTTTCGATTAAAACATCTTTTTTTATAGTATATACTGTATATACGGATAAAGAGCAAAAATTATAAACTATTTATAAAAATGTAAAAAAAAAAAAAAAAAAGAAATTAAAAACAAAAAAAGAATAAGAATGATTATTTGAATAATGAATGCAAAAATTCAAACAAAAAAATAAGAAGAAACAAGAAATAAAAAAACAGAAAAACATATAGAATAAACAATTCATATTAATTACTTATAATGAAGTAAAATGAAATTGACAAAATTTGCTAATAAGATTATCAATGATTTTTATATATACTTATGTATAAATTTGTATAGAATATTATAATACATATTTTTTTCAATATTTCTTTTATATAATATTTCATTTTCATTTTTTTCTTTATATTTATTTTTCTATTTTTTCTTCTTTTTGCATTTAATTTTCTTTTTACTATTTTTTCAAGAATATAAAGAAAATTCATTTAGATTATTTCGTTAAAATTTGAATACTTAAATTTCATTAAGAAATTGAGTTTTCAAAAAATGAAATAAACACAATGATACTAATAAAAATTTCGATCATGGATAACGATTGAAAAAAGTCAATTTATTTATTTATAAATATATAAATATTTAGCAGTTCTATAAAGAAAATTGCAGAAATGTAATTGCAATTGCATAAATATAGTAAATAGTGCGAAAGAAGTAACAAAAAAGTAAAAGCAAAAATTGAATCTATTCTTCAACCAGTTCGAGAACTTTCTGATAAAGTTAAACGTACGCGTACTTAGAGGTAGTACTTTGAAAGTACCGCGAAAGTGCTGGTTATCTGGTCACGATCGAAGATCAAAGTGGTGGGATAAGCACAGAAGAGACAGACAAGAGAGAAAAGGAAAGATAGAGATTGTGAGGAGAAGGACGCAGAAAAGCCGAAGAACTCAAGGAGAAGGAGAGTTAGGTGGGTTGAATGGTCGACGGAGGATCGAGGCGTCCGGCGTCCTCGATCTCGGGATCTTGGAGCAAAACTAACGATCTCCCGCTCGCTTGCAAGATCAACACGACGATAATTTAATACACGAGATCACCACCCAGGTGTGCTCTGACGTGTACAGATGCTGTTTATAACCTCGACGAGAAGGAAAAGGCTGAGTCGACAAAAGTAGGAATGTATGTGCAATTCTAGATGCGAATATTGACTCTTCTTCTCTCTCTCTCTCTCTCTCTCTCTCT